GGGGGGGGGGGGGGCGGGGCAGAACCCATTTGTCTCATTCGCCCACCCACCCACGCGCCCCGTTCCCCTGCCGCGCACGGCTTGGCTCGACCCCTGGCCCGGCAGACAGCCCCCCCCCCCCCTATCTGCCATCCTGCGCCCCTGAACCTCCTGGATCATCTTGATCATGATTCCTCCATCTTCACTCCCTTCTCATCCCCAATTTTCCTATTCCTCCACTGCAGCATGATCACCCCACAAGACCTATCCCTCCTGTCAGACACCCTGCCTCCCTCCTGGGCCACTCCCGCCACAACCACCACCCCACCTACCGCCGCCGCCGGCACCGGCGCCTCCCCCGGCGCCGCGGGAGCCGTCGGCCCGGGCGGCTTCCCGGCGACTTCCGCCGATCCCATGCCGCTTCCCGACGCCCTGGCTCTGCTGCTGCTGCGCATCGTGCCACAGCTGGCGCCGGCAGAGGAACGGGACTCGCAGCAGCAGCAGGAGCAGCAGCAGCAGCAGGAGCAGCAGCAGCAGCAGCAAGCCGGCGGCGCGGACGCGGCTGCGCTGTCGTCGGCGCCGCCCGCGCTGCGCGGCTGCGAGGACGACGCGCGGGAGGCGGCACTGGCTGCGGCGGAGCTGCTGGCTCGGCTGTCCGCCTCACCGGCGGCCCCAGGCGGTAGCGGCGGCGGAGCGGCGTCCGCCTTGGATAGCCTGCTGGCAGGCGCGGCGGCGCGGGTGGCGGAGCGGGTGTGCGGCGGCGCCGGCGGCGGCCCGAGCGGGGCGGATGGCGTCGGCGGCTGGGGCGCGGCTGATACGATGAGCGTTGACGGCGGCGGCGGCGGCAGTGGGGACGCGGCCGAGCCAGCGGCGGCGGCGGCTGGGGCGGCGGGGTCCCTGGAGGAAGGCGTCATCAATTTTGGCCTGATCGGGCTGCTGGCGCCGGCGATGCTAGGGTTCAAACCGTCAGACGGTGATCCGGGTGATCTGGTGGTGGCCTACCTCCCGTTTGTGAAGCCCTAGACTTTTTGTCCGCCCTTTGGGTCGCTTGCTTGCCATCAGAGCAAGAGCCAGCCGACGCCCAAACCGTGGCTGAAGAAACAATAGCGGCGGGCCCCGGCCCGACGGCCCCCTGGCTATCTGACTGTGCCGGTAAATGTTCCTGACAACAGCCGAACCGGCCCCCTCCCAAATCCCGCAGCCGAGGCTCGCCAGCGGCTGGCGTTCTTGACCGGCGAGCTCCTGCGCACCGCCGCCGCCCGCAGCCCGCCCGCCGCCGCGGCGCTGTCTGCCCAGCTGGCCCGCTTCCTCGCCGCCGCGCTGCCGCCGCCGCCCGGCGCCACGGGTGCCGCAGGCGGCGGCGGCGGGGGCGGCGGCGGGAGCGGCGGGGGTGAGGGCTTGCTGTCGGA